TCCTTCCTTCCTTCCTTCCTTCCTTCCTTCCTTCCTTCCTTCCTTCCCTTATCCCCCACTCCCAGTTCCAGTACCAGTATTCAGAATTAACCAATAGCATGCTTACTTTTTATTTTTGGAGACAGGATCTTGCTTTCTAGCTCAAGCTGGCCTCCAAACACATGATCCTCCTGCCTTGGGCTCCTGAGTGCTATGCTTACAGTCATCAGCCATATCTATTTGGTTGTTTGTTTTGGTTTAAAAAATAGTTTTAATTTGCATTTTTTCTTGTTATTTAGGAGGTTGGTATCTTTTTATGGTGTTGGGTATTTGCATTTCTTCTATCTTTTATTAGTTTTTTTTTTACTAAAAAAACTCGATTAATTAATGGATATATGCTCAGTATTGTAGATTATTTATTGTAAGTTAGCTTTCAAAAAGGGTATATTTAGTATTTATTTAGACTCTTGTAACTAAGTACTTTTTAATATTTTGATAACATAATAGTTTGATAATATTGATAATAGTTTGATAATATTATTACAGCATGTCCCCCCTTCCTTCCACCAAACTTTCCCATGTACTTCTATGTTGCTCTCTTTCAAATTTAGTTCCCTTTTCCTTTAGTTGTTAACATGTGTGTGTGTGTGTATATATATATATATATATATGCGTATATTCTTAAGTATATAAATGGCACTTACTCGGTTTATATAATGGTACTTGTATGTGTAGTTTCACGGCAGACCTCTTGGTTTTGGGTAGTTAGTGTGTTGTTGACTAGGGAAGACTATCTCCTACTCTCATCATTCCTTAGTTGCTTGAGGTTTGTTGAGGGTTGAGGCTTTGTGAGTCTTAGCACTTTCCTGTTAGTTGTTCAGGTCATGTTTAGGTACCCATGCTGGTGAGACTTCATGGGGATAGCCTCTGACATTCTAGGAGACAAAGTCATTACAGTAAATGTCCTGTTTGTTTTTCTCCTATGATCTTTCTGCCTCATTTCCCACAATAATCTCTTAGCCTTAGGTGCAGAAGTTGTGTTGTAGAAGTACCCTGTAAGACGAGGCTCCACAACTCCACATTTTGAACATTTGTGGTTTTCCGTACTGGTTAGATTCATTTTAAATGGTATTCTTTTGCTAAAGGAGGGTTCATGTTTTACTGAAATGCTTGTGTTCAGCATTGAGCAATATTTGGGTGATGGGACTATTATGTGAAGAGTGTAATAGCTAAGGGTCAGGGGATTCTGGTAAGCTCACTGGGTTCTATACAAATAACCTGATTTGAGCCAGGTGTAGGAGCTGTAGTCTCAGCACTTAGGAGGTGGAGGCAGAAGGATTGCACATTTGAGGTAAACTGAGTTATACAGTGATATCCCCAACAAAATAAACAAAATAAAGCAGAAATAAAAAAGCTTAACTTGTTTTTAAGTTAAATCAGTGTCATTGAATTTTTTTTTTTTTTTTTTTTTTTAGATAGGGTTTGTATGGCTCTGGCTGCTCTGGAACTCACTTTGTAGACCAGGCTGCCCTTGAACTCACCTGTGCCTCCAAAAAATGCTGGGGTTAAAGTGTGTACCACCACCACCTGGCTTCAGTGGATTTTTTAGTATTTAATTTCTGAATAATTGTCCAAAATTTGAATTTCTTGTATTTAAAAATATTTTACTACATTCATTTAATTGCACATGTGAGTGCTGCTTAACATGTGTGTGGACGTTGTGAGACAGCTTGTAGGAGTCAGTTCTGATCAAACTCAAGGTGTCTGGCTTGGAGTCAGGCACCTTTACCCACTGAGCCATCTCACTGACCTAATACTTTTTAAAGATTTATTTTCTTTCAAATTAAGTGTATGTGTCTGTCTTTTTGTGGAGCTATGTGCCATAAGTGCTGATACCCTTGAAGGCTAGAGACATCAGATCCCTCTGGTGCTGTAATTATAGTGAGTTGTCTGATCCAGTTGCTGGGAAATAAACTCAGGTTGTCTGCAAGAGCAGCAAATACTCTTGGTTTTTTGAGATAGGGTTTCTCTGTGTAGCCTTGGCTGTCCTGGACTCATTTTGTAGACCAGACTGGTCTTGAACTCACAGAGATCCACCTGCCTCTGCTGCCTCCCAGAGTGCTGGTATCACAGATATGTGCCACCAAGCCCAGCACTTAGTGCATTTTTGACAAATATATTTTCTTATAAAATTACCACCACATGAAGATATCTTTCCTTGTTTTTCTCTGCTATCCTAGTAAATGACTAAACTGACTGCTGTTATTAGAGGTTAGTTTGGACTCTTATAATTAATAGAAATTTTCATACCCAGACCTTTTAACAGGACTTCTGAGCTTATGATTATACTAGGTAATTGAAAACACGAACAAAAGTAACCCGACTCAAAACCCCCAGAAAACAAACAAACAAACAAACAAACAAACAAAAATTTCATGAACTAAAGAACTGTTAGTTAAAAATCTTGTTTTTTAAGCTGGGCGTGGGGCTGCATGCCTGTAGTCCCAGCACTCAGGGAGTCAGATGCAGGCAGATCTCTGTGAGTTCGAGGCCAGCTTGGTCTAGAAAGCAGGCCTAGGACAGCTAAGGCTACACAAAGAAATCCTGTCTCAAAAACAAAACAAACAAAGAAAAAAAATCTTCTTTCTCTACAGTTGTGGCATATTTCTGAATGGTGATTTGACAACTTTACATCACTATTTAATAAGCCACAAACGTGTGTGTGTGTGTGTGTGTGTGTGTTTAAGTTCTGCAATGGAAATACTGACACAACAAAGTTAGCAGAACTTGAATCTCTGAAATGAGATACAACGCAGTGGAAGGAAGGTACAATTAGCTGATCTACCCTTCTCTATTGCCATACTTGCCTCTTAGATGTTAGCCTTACAGCCCTGCTAACTGTTACATACATTGACATTTGCTTTGTATTGTCTTGTGCATATAGACATTGTTTTGAACAGAAAACATATAAAGTGATACAAAATTTAATCCTTATTCAAGATTTACTTTTTTTTTTTTTTTAAATGTTGTAGTCCTCTCAGAAGGGAGAATGAACCACCACCACCACCTCTCCTTTTCTTTTTCTTTTCTTTTCTTCTTTTGGTGTTTATTTATTGAGACAAGGTTTCATTATTTATTTTGCCTGGAGCTTGCTATTTAGACCAGGCTGGCCTCCAATTCATAAAAATCTATTTTTTTCAGTGCTGGGTTAAGGATGTGCATCACTATTCTTGTTTCCTCTTTAAAAAAAAAAGCAGACGTGTGTGTGTGTGTGTGTGTGTGTGTGTGTGTGTGTATGTCTAGAATATGCTGAGATTACAGGCAATGGTTCTTTTTAAAATTTATTATAATTTATTTACTTTGTATCCTAGCTGCAGCCCCCTCCTTAATTTCCTCCCAGTCCCGCCCTCCGTACCTCATCTCCTCCCATGCTCCTTCCCCAGTCCACTGATAGGGGAGGCCCTCCTCCCCTTCCATCTGACCCTAGCCTATCAGGTCTCACCAGGAGTGGCAGCATTGTCTTCCTCTGTGGCCTGGTAAGGCTGCTCCCCCCTCAGGGGGAGGTGATCAAAGAGCCAGCCACTGAGTTCATGTCAGAGACAGTCCCACTTGGATACTGTGCTGTCATGGGCTACATCTGTACAGGGTTCTAGGTTATCTCCATGAATGGTCCTTGGATGGAGTATCGGTCTCAGAAAAGACCCCTGGGTCCAGATGTTTTAGTTCTGTTGCTCTCCTTGTGGAGCTCCTGTTCCCTCCAGGTCTTTCTATCTTCCCCTTCTTTCATTAGATTTCCTGCACTCTGCCTAAAAATATGGAATGCTTCACAAATTTTGTGTCATCCTTGCACAGGGGCCGTGTTAATCTTCTCTGTATCGTTTCAATTTTCGTATATGTGCTGCCAAAGTGAGCACCAGGCAATGGTTCTTAACCTCTGGGTTGAAACTGTTTTAGGGATCAAATGACCCTTTCGCAGGGTTGCCTAAGACTATCAGAAAACACGAATATTTATATTACCCTTCATAACAATAGCAAAATTACAGTTACGAAGGAGCAACAAAACTAATTTTGTGCTGGGCAGTCACTACAACACAAGGGGCTGTATTAAAGGGTTGCAGCATTAGGAAGGTTGAGAATCACTGGTGTACTATCTTTAAATTAAAGCGTAATAAAATGTCATGTACGTGTAGACCCATGAATTATACATAAAATATGATGTGCAGCATTTACAATAATATTCTTATTACCGTAGGGCCTTTGTTTTTGTTTTTGGTTCATGCTAGAAGTTCTATTCAGAATGTTCCTTTTTTGGTTGTAAAGTTTACAGAGCACTGAATTGGCATACCTAAACGATTAGCAAAGTTATAATCAAAGGAACGCATGGAAGTGAAGCCAATGATATGACTCAGCTGATTAACAGTGGCAGTCACTTTCAGGACACTTTACTGGAATTAGAGTATAAAGTTTCTTTTCATTTTACCTTAAGGAAACAAATGATGTAATATAATGGATGTTCATATGTCTACCTATGACCTAATTTAATCAGTATTTATCTTGTCTCAGTTTCACACTTAGAAAAAAAGAACATTTTGTTACAATGTAGTTTGCATTTTAACAGGAGTTCTGGAAGCAATATAAGGCACTTTCAGTACTCTTGAATAGTACTCCCCATTTTTTTTTTTTTTTCCTTTGGGTCACTTGAGAATAAGTTGGAGGTACTGTATTTTCCCTTTAAATACTTTTTCCAAGAATAATAAAAGCATTCTTTCTTGTATATCAACAGACCTTTTGAGACAGGAACTCATTGTCTCACTCCTGATTGGCCTGGAACTCACACAGATCTGTGTGTCTCTGTTCTCCCCGTGCTTGGATTAAAGGTATATACCGCCATCCTGTCCTGTTCACTGATAATTTTTGATGGTTTTGAGTAGAATTTTTTATATCCATGTTCTTAGATATACTTCACAGCAGGAAAATATTTCACGTATTACCTCAAATTGGCATATCATTAAAATTTTTAGTGTATTTTAAACTTTTTACTAAAAGCAAATGTATCTTGGCTTACTATTGTTCAAGACATTTTGAATTCATGTTTGCATTTCATTGAGATGTTGTTAGCAGGGACCTTATCTGAAAGTATCTTCACTTCAAGTTTTTAACTGAGAGAAGCATCTCTGAGTTTTTCACACATCAGTGTGATCGTACAGGCCACAGGTACAGTTCAGTGGTAGATAGCGTGGTCCTGGGTTCAGTTCCCAAGAGAGATACACACACACACACACACACACACACACACACACACACACACACACA